ATAGCTGGACGTTTAGACAGAGATTTACATACAAAGGTCTTTGTCATAACATTCTTTCTAAAATCCAAATATTTAATACTAGGAAAATTGGTGAGTAAATTATAATACATCTCCATCTTGGAATATTTTGAGGAATATTTTCAATTAGAATTGAAATTCTATGTATATTTATTGACAGGCAAAAATATTTATGAAATAACATTAAGTTAAAACCCTCCAGGGCACCCAAATGTGTGTGTGCGTGCGTGTGTGTGTGTGTGTGTGTGTATGTATCTGTGTGTATGTGCACATGCAATCCAATTTTGCAAAAAATATTTATGCATAGACAAAGGACTGAAAAGAAATATATCCAAATATTATCAATAATATTTCTGGGATATGGCATTACGTATGAGTTTTAGGTTTTAGACTTTTCCATATTTTCCAAATTCTGAAATTTAGAATTCATTACTTTAATAACCAGAGAAAAACCTACTTTTTAAAAATTCAAAATATATCTTCGGTTGGTGGCTTTTGCTATAGGGCATGGTTTTCTTTCTTAATCTCAGGAAATTTCTAAAATTTGCTTTAATAAGGGTTTTAGTTTTTTATTACAATATATATAACAAATAACATTAATGCACATATATGCTCCTGTGTTGACCCAGGAGTGAACACTAAAAAGGTATTTCAGAGGAGCGTATATGACATATAACATAGTTATTAGCACCATATATTTGTTTGCTAGGGCCACTGCAACAAACCAGGTGGCTTAAACAACAGAAATTTCTTGTTTCACAGTTCTGGAAGCTCAAAGCCCAAGATGATGGTGTCAGCAGGGTTGTTTCCTTCTGAGGGCTGTGAGGGAAGGGTTTGTTCCAGGCTCCTCTCTCCTTGGCTTGTAGATGGCCGTCTTTTCTCTGTGTCTCTTCACATTGTTTTGCTTTATTTGCATCTGTCTTCGTGTCCAAATTTCCCTTTTCTTATAAGGACACTAGTCATGTTGGATTAGAGTCCACCAAATAACTTCATTAAAAATAATTTTATTTTTCATCGTAATGCAGTCTTTTATTATTTATTATTATGTTTTAGAGGGCGTACTGGGGATTGAACCCAGAACCTTGTGTATGCTAAGCATGCACTCTACCACTTGGGCTATATACTTTCCTCCCAATTTCATTTTTTAAATTTGTAGAACTTATTGTTTAAAAACTTCATTTTAACTTATTACTTCTGTAAATACCGAACTCTAAATAAGATCGTATTCTGAGGTACTAGGGGTTAGGACTCCAACAGATCTTTTTTGGGGCAGGGAAGTAGGGAGGGAAAAAATTCAATGCATAACACAACACAACACAACACAACACAACCATTAATGATTACTTTCATTCCAAAGGCTGCAACATAGAAAAGCTTCTAGCGTTTCTTCCTCTAGTTGCTTGATGTCCAGTAATATTCTCCTAAGTGAGTTAATAGACAGCAGCATAGAAACATCAAGTTCCACTTGTTGGCCTGAGAAGATAAGATCATTTTGGTCTTGTGTTATTTCCTATATTAAACATAGTTTGTATTTATATAGAACTCTATAGTGTAGAAGAAACTTTATTATGTTCATTTAATTAATCTCCATAGTCTCTCATACACAGATGAAGAAACTGTGCCTTTCGAGGATAAGCGATTTGCACAAAATTGCACAAATAATGTGTCCAGAGACATGCTTACGACTAGTTGGTCTAGATCCTCCGTGGTCCATGTGACCAAGCCAAACTACTGGCTACTGCACTTAACAAAGAAGTATGACAGACATTTCACAAATTGCCTGTGTCTGCGACTGTTGACTTTTGTGAAGCATTTTTTCTGTTCAACTCTATTTACCACATGGGGTCGCTGTTATCAAGAGATGATTCTAAAATGTAACCCTTTTATGTTCTATTTCCGTTCAAGGTCCTAGCCTCTTTAGCTCCCTTACAAATGCTTCTTTCTCCTCTGCCTGATCCTGAAGGCAAGCTGGTTATTTATTCTGTGCCTTGTGATATCCACTCTGTCAAAGCGTTACCAGAAGTCATCATCACTCACCGATCTTGTCCACGGGAAAGTGAAAAAATTGGTCACTCAGAATACACTGGGCAATTCTTGACCTAGAAGATGCCCTCCCCCAATATTTTCTAGTGCTTTTCCTTTCCCATATTTTATGAGCAAAGAACCCAACACACCACTATGTCTTCCACATTAATGTGAGTGCTAACATGTCGGATTATTGCATTTCGCTGATTCAATTAACATTATAGTGTCTTATGGATTTAGCTCTTTTCCTGAATGGATGTTCTGTTTTTGTTTTTAATTTTTGTGTTGTTTTTGTTTTTAATTTTTGTGAATTTGTGTTGGACATTTCTTGAAGGAAGAGTGAATAATATATATATATATATATTTTTTTTAATCACATATATAATCCTACACAACTGCTCTCTACTGGCTATGGTACGAGGCATGTGGTTTAGAGAAGAAGGAAAGGAATGGGAAGGAATTACAGTTTACTGCTGACTGTATAACATAGGCTGACTCTGAAGTAGGTGTTATTGTCCCTGTTTTACAGATGAAGAAACTGAGGCTCAGAGGAGTGAGCTGTCCAAGGTCACAAGGTGGCAGAGCTGGGATTTGGATTTAGGTCTGTCTGACTCTGAACTTGTGCCTCTTCTTCTTCTCCTTACTTCCTCTCTGGCGTGGAGACTGATTCCACATCAAATGTCCTTTCCTATCTGACCAGCAGGGACTAGTGAGGGGTCCATTCTCCTGTTTAACATCTGTTAAGTGAGATTTGAGTAGCAGATGTAAGATGTGGACTTAGTGTAATTATACAAGGACACCAGCGTGTCAGGAGATGAAAGGTCCAGTTCAGATCGTCTCATCTGGTCTTTTGTGGAAGAAGATTAAGATTCCATTTCATCTTACGTAGGAGTCAATGGGGGACTTCTGGGCACGAAGTACCAGGTCAGATGGGTTATTCTCAGAGCTCCATGAGTATGAGACTGACACAGTAGATGACCACCTTCTAGGACTGTGGAAGAGTGTTGGGGAGTAAGGAGCCCAGTGGAATCTACCCTCTGATACGTTTGTTTCATTCAAACCAAATGTATAAAAGATCAGACCTTAGCAAAGATCTAAAAGCCAGGCTGGGCTGCTATACTGTTGTGCTGGAGGTTTTTACCCCCATCTTTCTTCCTGAGTGCTCAGTTGAACCTTACAGGAAGACCATTCTGAGCAGCTGTCACCCTGCGATTGGCTTGCTCGGGGACAGCCCTGTGTGAGCTGCTAGTATGGGCTCTGGCAGTCGCTGCTGTGCCTCTCCCCTGGTTCATAACCTGCTCCAGGCTCAGACTCAGCAACAGAACCTAGTCCCTGGGTCCCTGGTTTACACCTAGAATATGAGACAGATGACAAGAGTGACTGTGCTCCTGATCTTGGGTGAGTTATTTGGGGATAAAAGGTAATTGGGATCCAGTTCTGGACAGGGATCTATAAACTTACCTGCCATTCATTGCTCTTTATCCAAAATTTGAGGGATGGCTTTGGGGTCCTGTTTTTCTCCAGGCAGTTTCTTAGCATTTCTATGAGGGGTAAGAGCAATAAAAATATTCTGGGTTACTAAGCTCTGGTCCATCCATGGGAGGGAGAAATTAGACCTGCCACTTCTGTTCATGTGTTCCTTGGATTCCTCAGAATAAATATAAAAAAAATTCGTCTTGACACCCAAGTGAGAATTAAATTGTATGTGTCTGTAAATGGTGGGGGAGTAGAGGGTGGGATGGATTTACTTGAGGAAGAACCTGGAAGGTGCTGAGTTGGACTTTCAATCGGTTTCAGGATAGGAGGAGCTAGTGTTGTGTTTTCAATTTCACACAGGTACTTTGAGCCTCGCTAAGACCATCCAGCCCGTCTTCATTGACTCATATGAAGGACAAGAAGTGAATATACCTTGTAACCACACCAACATTGCTACAAATGAATATATCTTCTGGTACCGACAGTTCCCCAACCAAGGACCACAGTTTGTCATTCAAGGGTATAAGACAAATGCAGCAAATGAGGTGGCATCTCTGTTCATCCCTACCGACAGGAAGTCCAGCACCCTGAGCCTGCCCTGGGCTACCCTGAGAGACACCGCTGTGTACTACTGCATCGTGAGTGACACACAGTGAGACAGAGGGGGCTGCACCTGTGCAACATCCCCCTTGGGGTGAGTCACAGCCCAGGGGACCCCCAAAGTAGCACTCTTACAACGTTTACTTATTATTTTCAGAAGGTATTAGCAAACCCATGTACTACTTGATATTAAAATTTGATCTTATTTCCTTTTAAAGTAGATGTTTCATTTACATGGTCTAAAATTTCAAAAAAATAAAAAGGAATACAGTGTAATGACTTTTTCCCATCTTTGTCTCTGAGCTACTCAATTATACAAAATCAGGCACTCTGTGGTATTTATACTATTGTTACTTAGCTCAAAGTTGCCCCTCAGCTCATGCGCGCACGCACGCACACACACTAAATGCTCTTATATGCACATTGCATGTGGTCATTTTGGACAACATGTTTTTCAGCTTTTGAAAAATTCAGCCTAAGTGTCAGATTATTATTTATTGTCACACAAATTTTGAACATTTCTTTGGTATTCCAAGCATCTATAAGACGGTTTCCAAGTCTCCCCTGAGTTTAGATCTTTTGCTCTCTTTCTCTTTTCTTTTGTCCCACTGCCCTGTTATGGATGGCGTGGCAAGGAGAATGGAGATGATGATGGTGGGGAGTGAGAGAGTTTTTCTTTTTCTGACTGTATGATGGATTATTTTTGCAACATATGAAGCAGAAACAGGGATTCTGGGTCATTATCACTTTTCACAGTTGGGTCTTTGGGGGCCAAAGGGAGACGGGAATAATACAGTTTCTGGGAAACTTGCCAGTGCTCCTGTGGCTTCAGCAGGACTGTGAGGACATTATTATTACTTATTTTTGGTGGGGGTGTCACTGAGTTTGGCAACAGGGAACACAATACTTGACGTTTTCTGTTGAGACTGACAGGGCTACACCATGGGCTGGGAGCGTGCTTCCATCTAGCTCATCTTAGGATGTGGTAGGGAAGTAGTATTGGGCAAAAGCAGATAATTCTAGATCATTAGAGCCCAAAAACTCATCTCCTTTGGCTGACGTCTTTCTAAACACGGGAGACGAGCCTGCTGAATGTGGAACTGAGTGCCAGGTCACTGAATGTTTAGGATACAGTCTGTTCTTCTCTCAAGGTCACTTAAGAAGACCACGATTTCCAGCACTTCACATGGTGCAGATAATACCTTGGAAAAAGCTCCAGGCTTCTGACTTGATAATCTCAAATGGAAAAAAATGAGAAAAGAAGATTCACAGCATTGAACAAAGACAAGAAATACACCTTCCTGCACAACACAGATTTGATGGCTGGAGATTCAGACACTTACATCTGCAAAGCAAGTTCACAGTCATCCCCATGAGCCTGGAGCCTCTAGCCACACTCCTGACATGACAGCTGAGAGGGTGGGGTAGAGAGAAATCTTTGTAAGGTTTCTATCTGCCTATGAAAATGAATACCTTTATCATATCTGAGAGGCTGTCTGTGGTTATCTAAGGAAGACGTTAGACTATTCCAGAGATAATTGATCCACAAAAGGAAATTATAGGTGGAATATTAGCCTGGATAAACCTTCAAAATGTTTTCTTTCCACATTGGAGTTTCATTCCTTCCCTGTTCATGAGATCACAGTTGAATAATGCCTTGGTTGTAAGTCTAGAGGAAAAGAGCTTTATCTCAGAGACAGAGGAACTGGAAATATGGTCCAGGTTCTCTCAAGGAGCCATGGGCTACGAGGAAACAACACAGTTAGGTCTAATTTTAAGTTCTAGTTTTATAAACAGGAACCTGCATGTTGAACATTTTAGAATAATAGCCAGTGAGTGATGGTTGAAAGAGCACTGGGGTTAGAAGCAGTCAGTTCTGATTCTAGTTGTGCTTCATCTTTGCTACATGGCCTTGAGTAGCAAAATAGTGGAAAAAGAATAAGCTCTGGAGCTGGGCATTCCTGGGTTTGAATCTGAGACCTGTTACTCTTAAGTTTGACTTGAATCAAATATTTATGGTAGCTGAGCTTCAATACCGCTTCTGTCAATGGGGGTCACAATACATGTTCCAGGGCTGCTAGGAGGTTAAAATAACATTATGCCAAAGATCCTGCACTTAATCAGCTCTCATTAGACAAAAGCTGTCAATATCTTACATTATCATTTCTGTACATTCTGAAGTTATTAAACCTGATCTGCCAACCCTACAGAGCTATTGGAAGATGACATCAAATCTTATCATAAAATGAAGAAGCCCTAAACAAATATAAGAACTTTTTTTTCAGGGAGAGAAAACTCATGGTCTTGCTATCTCTGACCCCCCCCCCAAAATCAACAAATTGATCAGCTGTTTTTCTCTAAAGATCACATGACTTTTTTGGCCTAATGATCCCCACCATGAAGCTTTCAAGGTTCAGACAGGTAAGTGATGATTCATGGAATGATTGGTGATTCTGGACTCCCAGGAATGGATGAGCAACTCTGCCTCCAGGCTAAGGACTGTCTGTATTAATAAATGATTTCAAAATGTTCAGAGCTTTGTATAATTACAGAGAAAATCTCATTGGTTATGTGAATCACAGGGCCCTCCCAGATCCATGGAGAGGGGAAGGGACTATGCAAGGCTGTGAATATCAGGAAGCATGATTCATTGAGAATCATCAATGTAATAAAGCACTACCATAGCAGTAGAAAATCTAGAGAACAGTGATAAATAAAATGGACAAAGAAATAAAAACGTCCCCTTATCTCAATATCCTTAGATAACCATAATTTACTTTTTGATGTATAAACTTTTAGAACTTTTCCATAAAA